GGTACCGGCATCAGCTGGGCGCTGCCATCTTTTTTTGATGAAAAAGTGCTTCCGGTGAGCTTTCTACCCGGAAAAGCTCACCGGAAGCACTTTTTCATCAAAAAAAGATGGCGGCGCCCAGCAAACCAGCGGCCCGGTAGGACTTGTTCCACGGACCGGTACCGGTCCGCGGACCGGTGGTTGGGGACCCCTGGACTAGACGACCTTCAAGATCCTTTCCAATTCTGTCATCCTGTTATTATTCTATTGTTACTATTAATAAAATAAAAGAAAGAGATAAGGTTAGATTAGCATGAGCTGTTTGTGACACAACGATCTGGTACCTGTTATTGATAACAAGCATATAAAGCACACACAAATATGCTGCTTGATGATAACCTGTTCTTGCCTAGTATAAATGTCAAACGGACAGGCCTATAGTTCTCTACACCCTCCTTCCCCTTCTTGATAAGGACTAAGTATTATCTTGGGGGCACAATGGGTCAGCAGTTAAAGATGCTGAGCCTTTCAGCTGGAAATAGCAATAGCAATAGTACTTAGACCGATATACCGCTTTACAGTATTTTACAGTCTAAGTGGTTTACAGAGTCAGCATATTGCCCCCCTCCCAACATTTGGCTCCTCATTTTACCGACCTCGGAAGGATGGAAGCCTGAGTCAACCTTGAGCCTGGTGAAATTCGAACTGCCAAACTGCAGGCAGCTGGCAGTCAGCAGAAGTAGCCTGCAGCACTGCATTCTAACCACTGCGCCACCACAGAAAGCCGACAGCCTGGGTTCGACACCCGAGTGCGGCGCAACAGGGTGAACTGCCCAGCTCCTGCCCATTAGCAGTTTGAAAGCATGCAAATGCGAGTAAATAGGTACCAATTCGGTGGGAAGGAAAACCTTTAACTTTAAATATTATCTTAACTTCAATTTGTCTATCTTCAGTTCAGTTCCCTCGTTCTTCCAGTGGTACGACCAACAAGGGCTCCATCTGCCTGGTGAGAGAAGATAAACTCAAAATAGGAGTGAAGAACTCTTGCCTTCAGAATCACCAATTAACAGTTCATCACCTTCACTTTGCGATAGAGTGTAGTGGATAGAGGATGGCTTTGAAGGACAGAGGAAAGAGTCACTAGCAGAGTAATAATTAGATAAAACAAAAGCTGAGCCCAGGCCAAAGAAAAAATTATGAAAATGCCTCAGACAAGCCCAATATGACAGTGCCCTGCCCTCCCACCCCTCCATTCTCATGAAAACAAAAGCAAGAAGACAACAACATTTAGATTTGTAAGATTCTGTTCCTATAGTGGTTCTAATAAAAATAGCTTAGAATCTGCATGATCCTGAGTCTATTCTATCTGATACAGCTGGTGTGGACCTACAGTATATCATCTTTGTCTTTTATTTTATTTTCAACAAAACCATTTTTGTTGTTTTTGATATCTCATTCTGAGTTTTCGCCTGAAAGAACTTCTACAGCAGCAGTCACCAACCTTTTTTGCTCCACAGACTGTCTGTGGCGGCAAGGGAGAGGGGATGGTTTTGTGCACACATCCTAATCCTGCGCATATGCAAATAAATCTTTGCACGCTCATCACCTCCCCCACTCCTGCACTGTCCGATTCCCAATGGGCCAAAGTGCCAGTCAGCAAAGCAGGGATTGGGGACCTCAATTGTACAGCTTCAGAAAGACTACCTTTATCTGCTGTCCAGAGATTCAACTATACTTTTGGGTGTATCATTTGAAGACGGCAAGGCAGGATTTGGGTTTGGCTAGGATAGAGAAAAGAAGGACTAGGGGTGGCATGACATGATTCCAGTATTTGAGTGGTTGCCAAAAAAAGAGGGGGTCAACTTATTTACCAAAGCACCTGTAGGTAGGACAAGAAACAATGGATGGCAACTAATCAAGGAGAGAAGCAACCTGGAACTAAGGAGAAATTTCCAAACAGTAAGGACAATCAACCAGTGAAATGGCTTGCCTTCAGAAGTTGTAGGTGCTTCGAAAGCGAGAATAAAGTTAAAGCTTTTGCAAGATGCTAGAATTAGAGGAGGATTTGGCTTGCCTAATTGGGAGTTGTACTACCAAGCTACAAACCTGATGTGGGTCATGGAATGGATAACATTAAGAAATACTAGATTGTTGACATTAGAAGGACATGATTTGTTGTTGGGGTGGCATGCTTTTTTATGGTATAAGGGAACTAAAACACAGGGTTATTTTAGAAGACATTATATACGGGAGTCTTTGTGGTTAAACTGGGAGAAGATAAAAAGACAATGTTATTTGAAAATTCCAGTTTGGTTATCGACTATTGAAGCATTTTCCTATCCTATAATTTATAAGAAGGAACAAACAGTTAGATATGGGGAACTATTGGATGAAAAGGGTGAACTTAAATCGATGCAAAAACTAGAGGAACGAGGTAGATGAATTGGTTTTCATATGCGCAAATACATTCAAGGTATGATAAAGATTTTAAAACAGAAGGTTTCTATGATAAATTGACTGATCTAGATAAGATTTTGACAGGTACTGATGAAAAGGTGATTAAAAAACTGTATGGATATTTATTAGAAATTAAACTAGAAGAACAAGAAGTTAAAGAAACTATGATTGTTTGGGGGAAGAACTTTGGATACGGGATTGATTTAGAGAAATGGCAAAAATTGTGGTCTCAAAATTATAAAATGACAATGTCAACAGCATATAAAGAAAATTTGTATAAGATGTTTTACAGGTGGCATTTTCCCCGACAAGAATAGCAAGAATGTTCAAGAACAAATCCAAAAAATGTTGGAAATGTCATCAGACACCTGGCTCATATTACCATATGTGGTGGACTTGTGCGGACGCTAAAAAATACTGGACTAAAATCCACATGTGGTTGGAAAAAATGACAAAAAAACATATAGACTTGAAACCAGAGATATTTTTATTGGGAATTTTACCTGAAACATGTAGCAAAGATTTGAAATACCTGACTGTAAATGTATTAACGGCGGCTAGGATTGTATTTGCTAAAAACTGGAAAAATGAGAAAATACCATCACAGGAGGAAATCATTAAGAATATATTGGAATGTGCTGAAATGAGTAGATTGACATTCGAAATTAGAGAACAAGAGGATAAACAATTTTATAAAATGTGGGACCTTTTCTATCAATGGTTAGATAATAAAATACAGTAATGAAATATGTAGATTCTTAGAAAATAATAAATATATAAAGATGTATTTCTTTTTATTATATCCACAAAATGTTTTTAGGATAGATTTGGGAGGATAATATGAATTGTTATAAAATAAACTAAGTAAATTGTGGTTATCTCGTAAAATATGAATGAATAAAATTATAGTCAAATGATTGATTAATAATAATATTAGGGTATTTAATTTTTGATTGATAATATGAGCTTTTATCTAATGTAACTGTAATTGAAGACTACGAAATGGATGCACAAAATGATTTGTAAATCAACCGGCACACTGTTTGTATACCTATGAAAGAAAGTTTGATGTTTTTATGTTTTGTTTTTTTATGTTTTATTTGTCTATGTTTGTTTTTAAAAACCAATAAAATTTACAAAAAAAGAAGAAGTTGTAGGTGCTTCATCACTGGAGGTTTTTAAGAAGAGACCGGACAGTCACTTATCTGAAATGGTACAGGGTCTCCTGCTTGAACAGGGGGCTGGACTAGATGACCTTCAAGGTCCCTTCCAGCTCTATTCTGGTTGATTGATTCATTGTCCCCATGTGAACCAAAATGAAACAATATGATACTTTTTAGTGGATTTGAGTAATCTTGGTGACTTCTTCATGTTCTGTATAGATACCTGGAAATCAGCACACCTCACAGCAAGTCTGTGTACAGCTTATTAAGGAATCAGGCAATACCATGACATGCCTCTTCTTTCTCAAAGCAATTCTTGGGTTGTTGTTTTTTAACTCAATGACAGGCCCAGTGTCTCCTACAATGTTTTTGACCTGGTTTGTCCAGGTGGCTGTCAATTCTCATGTCTGGAAACCAATCATCTTCCTTAATGCAATACAATGTAGCAACTGTCTAATGTCCTTTACTGTTTGCTCCAATAAGCAAAAAAGCTTGTATCTGCAGCAGTTACATTTGTGCTTCCTCTCCTCATTATGACACAAATGAGACCATCAGGTTTCAGATGTCCTATTGGAGAGGGTTCCAGGACCACAAAAAGATCATCCAAGAATTGCACAAACTGGGCAACCACGTTTTAACCCAGCACATTAAGCAAACCAGTCTTGATCATGAGTTAACGGTTCAGTGTATTGTAAGACCTCCCCCATCCCCCAATGCAGGCTTTATATATCTGAATAACAGAAGGGACCTTGGAGGTGTTCTAGTTCAAACCTCTACCCAAATAGGAGATCCTATATATACCATTTTAGACCAACGGCTATCCAATCTCTTGTTAAAAGCACCCAGCGATGGAGCACCTATAATTTCTCAAGGCAATCCGCTCCACCGGATTAATTGTTCTAACTGTCAGGAGATCCCTCCTTATTTCTAGGTTGGATCAATGAAACACAGGCAAGCACTTGAACAAATCAGTTTGGAAATCAAGTCCTTATCCTCCTCTTACACAAAAACAATCGTTTCACAGGCCAGTCAAAACCCTAATTCTACGGTTGCTTCAGATCAACTTCACCCAACAATCCAGGATGCTCCAAAGGGCAGAACTGCAGCTTCTACCACAAAGATGCAGAGCCCACGTTAGGGATCAGGGAAGCTGCAGTCCTGCACGCACTTCGAGGACGCGACGCGCCCATTGCAGACTTCCCCATGTGTATCGCTTCCCCACGTGCGTTTCTCCCGACTAAGCACAAGCCGGGACGCGATCCCATTGATATACTGCATCCGACTAGGAAGGCAGCAGGTGAATTGCGAGCGTGCGAAAAGGAGACTTCTCGAGGAAGCCCCGCGGAAAAGCGAAGATCCAGCGCCGCCCGCGCAGGCTTTATTTTAGCCGCTCCTCCTCACCTGCGAGCGCTGCTTTCGCGGCCTCGGCTCAGCCGACCCGAAAGCCTGCCGAAAAAAGCCGCCAGGGACGTCCTCCCGCGGGGCAAACAATCCAGCAACCGCCGCCAGAGCGCGGGAGCCGCGGCAATCGCCGCCGCCACCGCCGCCATGGAAACCCGGCTACTTCTGTTTCCGGGTGTTGAAGCTCCGCCGGTTCCGCTTCCGGTCGTGGAGAGGGAAAGCTGAGCGTTAGAATAACAGAGTTGGAAGGGACCTTGGAGGTCTTCTAGTCCAACTCAAGTTCTGCACTAGAGAAGCAACTCCTGGAAGCTTATAGCCAGAATAAACAAACAGAAGATTAATATGCACTAGGAGTTTTGGTAGGTAAGGCAGGGAGGAAACGTTATTGTGAATTCCAAAATATATGCAATGATTGTATTTCTGTCTAAAGAGGATATAAGCAGCAACTGGTGCATATGCAAACTTTTTTGCTTATTGGAACAGACAGTAAAGGACATGAGAGAGTTGCTACATTGTATTGCATGAAGGAAGATGTTAAGTTCTCAGACAGGAGAATTGAAGTTTTCCAGGAGAGGCAGACAAATAGAGACAAGAACACAACACCAAATAACCGAGGGCGGGGGCGGGGGGGGAGAGATACTTTGACAGGCAAATATATGGAAGATAGTAACCCAGGCATGTAGTGCCAGTGAACTGTACTGACTGTACTGGAGGCTAAAACATATGAGAGGACATTTGACAGCCATCTGGACAAACCAGGTCAAAAACATTGTAGGAGACACTAGACACTATTCATTAAAAAACCCCAAGAATTGCTTTGAGAAAGAAGAGGCATGTCATGGTATTGCCTGATTCCTTGATATGAGGAAGCTGTATGCAGACTTAACTGTGATGGTGTGCTGATTTCCAGGTATCTATATACAGAACATGATGAAGAAGTCACCAAGATTACTCAAATCCACTAAAACCTACCATAGTGTATATTTTTGGTTCATGTGGGGCCAATCAATCAATCAGAATAGAGCTGGAAGGGACCTTGGAGGTATTCTACTCCAACCCCCTCCTCAGGCAGGAAACGGGGCCAGATTTCTGCAGTGATGGCGAACCTTTTCGGCAATGAGTGCCCAAATCTGAATGTGCATGTATGTGTGCATGCCGAGCACTAGAAACCCAAAGACCAACTGGCCTGTGCATGCATACCTGTTTTTTAGTCATTTTGCGGGGGAGGGGTGGTTCAGGCCATTTTTGGGGTCATTTTTGGCTGTTTTCTGAGCCGTTTTCAGGCCCTTTTTGGGACCACTTTCAGGTTGTTTATTGGCCCAAAAAGGGCCTGAAAAAGGCCCGAAAATGGCGGGTTTTGGCCATTTTTTCCTGGTGCTCCAGCACATGCAAAAAGACCAGTTGGCTGGTGCTCATATGCATGCCATAAACCAGAAGAGCAGCTGGCAATGGTGGGCGTGCCAACAGAGAGGGCTCTGTGTGCCATCTCTGGCACACGTGCCATAGGTTCGCCATCACGGAGCTAAGGGGGAAAAAAGTCCCGATATTTCATGTGACATGAGTTTGACACCCCTGCCCTATACTATTTCAAACAAGTGACTGTCCAGTCTTTTCTTAAAAACTTCCAGTGTTGGAGTATTCACAACTTCTGGAGGCAACCCGTTCCACTGGTTAATTGTTCTGTCAGGAAATTTCTCCTTAGTTCCAGGTTGCTTCTCTTAATTAGTTTCCATCCATTGTTTCTTGTCCTGCCTTCAGGTATTTTGGAGAATAGGTTGACCCCCCCGCACCACCACTTCTTTGTGGCAGCCCCTTAGTTATTGGAACACTGTTGTGTCACTTCTACTCCAACTAGACACACCCAATTTCAGCAACCATTCTTCATATGTTTTAGCCTCCAGTCCCTAATTATCTTTGTTGCTCTTGGCTGTTTAGAGTCTCAGTATCTTTTTCACCTGATGGCGACCAAAACTGGATGCAGTATTCCAAGTGTGGCCTTACCCAAGGCATTATAAAGTGGTACTAACACTTCACGTGATCTTTGTTAACGCAGCCTAGAACTGTGTTGGGTTTTTTGACAACTGCTTGTTCTGACTGGTTCCAGCTTCTGTTATGTATCGTCAGAAAGCCATGGAGTAGTAGTGCTACTAATGCTATACTAGTCTGGATTAGATATTGAGGTAGATAGCAGTAGAGACCCTCAAGTCACCCATCTATTCATTCCCTCTCAACCCAACCTATCTGGCACATCCTCTTTGAATTCCTGGAGAAAAGATAAGCTATAAATCTAACTCACATACTGGAATTGGCTTTCATTTTAAATCCGTATCTCTGCAACTAACCAAGGGCTAATCCGAGACTACTTTACTTGAGTAGCAGATATCAGTAGATAGGCAGCTGACTCTTTGGAAAAATAAGAGTTGTCTGGGTTGTTACAGTCCAAATCTGATAGCCAAGCCTAGTCTTTATAGAGTATAATGAGTCGAGGACAGCCTGTACATTTTAAAGATGCTTAGTTGAGGGAATTGAAAACTAAGCAAAATGGTTTCGGGTTGTTGTTTTTTCAGGATATTACACAGTAATCATGATTTCAGAGATTAAGTACATATCTCTATGTTTTACAGTACCATGTTAACTAATTTAAACATGAAATTATAGACTAAAAAGTTTTTAAAATTCATAATTAGTCATTCCCACTTAATTCAATTGTGCTTATTTTTATAAATGCATAGAACAGTAATAGAAACCACCTTTACTGAAATAGGGCATATCCAGTCCTGCTGCAGTTCTCAGGTTCCCAGAAATTTCTGGGCAATATTCATCCTGATGCAGAGGAAGTAGGACGCCCATGTAATTTTGACCAGCATAGTAGCTGCTACTGTGGCAATCAATACCACCACCTCTTTCCTCCCAGAAATCTACAGCAACTGCAGCAAAGAGACTATTCCTGTGCCCACTCTTTCCCCCACATCTTTTTCTAATGATGGCGTCCTCCAAGGTTCCAAGTGCTGTTGTTGGCTTTTCCTTTTGCTTCTGGGTAGCCCAACCATGTCACTGTAGAAAACACAAAGCCAACTGCTGTTGCTTCTGCCACCACCATGCAGACAATTTACCAGGGTCACCATGCCTCTTCCTCTCAAGTAGGCCTCTGAACTCTGGAGATGAGGAGTCAGGAGAAGAACTAAGAAAATCAAATTTAAGGCACATGTGTTGTTTTTCTTTGTTCACTTTATTCGGTCAGAGACAAAGAGGGGGAAATTAGAGAACTTAAATCCTACTGAAATTATACGTACTGTTCCCTCACAATAGGTGCATCTGCTATGCAAATAGATTGAGAATCATAACTGGCTTTAATTAACAAGCACTTATGTTCCTCATAGGTTGATCCTGTACAGGTATCTTCACATATATGTTCCAATATATTAAAATAGCCTAACAAGAAGAAAAAACAGGAGTCATCTAAAAAAATACAGTGTAAGTACTATAATAGCCACCATGTAGGACAAACAGGCAGAAAACACTTCTAATCTCACTACACATGGACAGATTCAACAATAGTTTCAACGGGAAAACTGAGAATTCTAGAGCAAGCTAATTCCAAATGTGCTAGAGAATTCCAGGAAGTTTGGCATTCAGACAAATCAGCCATCAACAGATTCATAGAAATAAGCCATATTTATCATTCAAATGAGACAAAAACTCTAAGAGGGAAACATAAAGGCCAGAACATATCCTCTCCAGCAGCCAACATCCAGATAAGCAGGGATTAACCCCCTTAAACAATCAAGCAGAAAACAATAGCCTAATCAAAGAACTAAAATAAAACCACTCACACACACCACCAAAACAGGTAGGGCAAGCTTCTGTTTATAAATAGAGAACAAACCCCACACTCATAGCACTGATGATGTTACCTAGTCAGGTAATGAAACATCTGCAAGTAAACAACCAAGCAAGCTCAGAGGACTCCATATGTTCCAAAGGATTCTATGGAGCTTCTTTCTACATAAGCAATCTCAGGATGCCAACTTTCAAACAGCTATAGCAGCCAGATAAACTGTTTCTGTACCAGCAGCAGCTTGAGTTTCCATTTACTGTATCTTGAAATAGTTCAATAGCTATTTAAGAGCTTCAGCTGCTTTCCCAGCACCAAGGAACAAAAAACCTTTTACTTTCCGAAAGAAAGAACGGTTTCACACACAGTCTCCAACAGTTATCAGAGCCTTTGCAATCTACTAATCTCCAAATCACTTCTCAAACAAATTAGGTCTTTTGTAGAGTGCTAGTCAAAGATCCCCCCCCCCCCCCCCACCAAACCAGATCTTCTCTCCCCACAGTCAATTTCTGAGCTTGGGACTTTAATGTCTCTGTCCCCTATCAGATCAAACAAAGGCAGGAAATCCTGATTTAGGACTGTTGTGGGCAGAATGTCTATAATTTACCCTAAGGCAAACCCAATGAAAATTCCCAAATGCCCTTCATTCTCAAAATATCTGTCTGCAGTATGCCCATAGGCAATTTGACAAAAACCAATGACATTCTTTTTAAGGAACATGCCCTTTCATTTTGTCATTGTGGTTTTCACATCTGGCAGCTGGGCATTAAAATGCAATTGGGAGAACTTTCCATTCAGCCCAGTGCAGGTTAACTGTGTGCAAAACAGTTTTGATATTTTCATTTCTTTCCCCAGAACAGAATTTTTAAAGCAATAACACAAATTAGTATTGCCATCTACAATTTATTTCTTAAATCTGAATACTTTAAAAGTAAACTTTCTTTTATTTGAAAGTATTGGTTTTCAAATATTTTCTTTTAAAATAGGATGATTTGAGGTTAAACATGAGGAGCTTCCTCCTTATATAAGTATAAAAGTCAAGAACAATTATTTAGTTTAACAAGGAATCTGACCAAAAGATTTCTTAAAATGGAAGATAGTAAACAAATGGATTAACTTAGTTTAACACTCTCCCTTTCAGTTGAAGCCAGAGTTTAGCTAAAGAGAAAGCAAAGGTTAATAACCTGCTCCCCTAAGATCTCCTTAGTATGCTTCAAAGTCATTCTCTCAAGAAACCTTCCAGTCAGAAAGCAAGGCTGCACTTTCATATCCATTAACTGTCCCCACTGTGGTTGGGTGGGGATCTTTTCATTACAA